TTATCATCATTTAGTGGTCTTTTCCAAAAGCATTATTTCCACTCCAAAACGCCACTTCTGTTTGCCAAGTGCCACAGTGCTGCGTCCTGGCAGCTGGTCAGCACGCACTGCCGGGTTATGTAAGCCCTGGGCTGGGCTTGGTCCCTGGCGGAGCGAGCGTGTCTGCAGAGCAGTTAGGACGGCGAGGTGACCCTGTGTCTGGAAATGGAGAACAGCTGTCCTGACCCTCATTCATTAGCTCGGTGTTTACACTGGGCTGGGGAGGAAATCCACATTTGCTGAAGACACCTGAGCGCAGCTGAAAACTGTCATACTGTGAAAATGTTGGCTTGAGGTTTGTTGTCAAGGAAATAGAAATTGTGGACATTTCATGAAATTCAAACATGCGGATTAATTTGCTAACAGGGAGCTAAGATTGCAAAAATCCAAATTGGCCTTATTCAAAGATTGAAATGTAATTAGTGTTGACTGTAGTGGCAGCAGCTAATGAACAGGACTATAACATCCTAGAAAATAATGTTATTAATAAAGGTTAGAAGAAATATTTTCAGAGAGAAGTCAGAGCCAGCATAAGAAGAAGAGATTATTGGTGAGTAAATATCATTAAAAAAACCCATCATAGTGAATAAACTTGTTTGTACAGAAGCTCTTCTGTTAAAGAATATGTTTTTGGTAAACTGTAATGAGCACAAACACGTGTGGAGATCCAGAATAGAACATGGCAGCGTGGCTGCGAATCCAGGGCTCAGGACGCACCAGTCCGTTGGTTTCGGCCTTCACGCATTGCTTCATCAGCCAAAGGCACGTCGGCTGTTCTTATTCTAGTATTGAAGCGTGCCACAAATATTATTAGTCTCATCAAGCTAGATGTTAGATCTCTCCTTTTCGAAATCCCACTCAAAAAATGGTAAAGGGCTAAGAATGAAGCCTACAAAGGCAAAGGATGGCCTTGCAGACTTAGCCGAGCAGAGCCCCGAAGCCAACGGAGGGGTGAAATAACTGAATTAGCGGAGTGCTAGATGCGTCGACCTCAAGTGCTGGTGGTACACCCATGAGGTGGTCACCCGCAGACTGCGGAGAGGCTCGGAATGGAGGGCACCCGTTCCTGTAGAAGGCAGGGTGAGGAGCCGACGTCCGGGAATTAGGGACCATGAGAACTGGAGCAGGGCCCCCTCTGCACCCTGGATGGCTGGGTGCCGCCTGGCCCTGCCCCTCCTCACCCCAGAGCAGACTGGAGGTCTATTCTTTGGAGAAACTGAACTGGAATAATGTTGGAAGAGGGTGTGGGGGACTGAAAACGGGGGACAATGAGAGCTGGGACTTGCACGCTTGTCTCCTGCCCTGTTCCATTGTGGCAGCAGCCTGGCCTGTGTAACCCCAACAAGGGATTGGAAGCTGCCTGTCTTGACAAATCGAATAGCTCTGAAAAAAATGCCCCCGGATACTGAAATGTATGGGTAAAGCTCGGCACCGTTTTTCCTACATTACTTGAAGCTCACCAGCGAGTAACTCCACCACCTATATAGAGCGTCCAGTCTGCTTTTAGTACTTTGCTCTTAAGTGGGATCAGTGGCTGAGGATTGGAGTCATAGCAGGGAAGCCTCCACACAGAAGACATGGACAAAAACAGAGAGAAGAGAAACCTTACAGACAATGGAAATGGTGCAGGCAGCAGAGAAAATGTATTTTCTGAATAAAGCAGAAAGAGAGAAGCTATGTTAGTCTAAAATGACAATAGCACTTATGAAAGGGAATTAGAAAACAATAAAAAGATAGTGGAAATAACAAACTAACTACTCGAATTAAAAAAAACACAAAACAGTTGAGGATATATTTCTCCAAAAGTAGAACAATAACAACAACAACAACAAATGGAGTTGAAATGTAGATGGGAAAGAAATGGGGAAAATGGAAATTAAGTCTAAAAGACTCAACATTACTGATATATTAGATGCAAAAGTCAAAAACAAATAAAATGGTTCTCTGAACATTATCATAGAAATAATACAAGAACATTTCATAGAACTAGAGACGAGTAACAGTTGTCATTCATCGGATGAAAGGATTTAAGGATAGGTATATAGTAAGCAAGACAAGTAAAAATAGCTATTGATTATTAAGTCTAGAAAAGTTCAAGTTTTATAAGAAAGAAAAGATGACCAGAGTCTATAACTTGGCTCTTTGGTGAACAATATTTATGTGGCCGTGATAATATAAAGAGTTGGCTCTTGATTTTATTATTGAGAAGCTAGCAGAATGAGAAATTCATATGTATGCTGTGTTATTTACCACATGTAAACCTGGTAAATTAAGAAATAGGCAGATTACTTAGCAACAGGGAGGTAAGTACTAGAAAAACCAGCTATAATTTGCAGTTGGTTTCCTCTGGGGAATATGACTGGGAGGGGGGACGGGAAGCTGTTTTCATATCTTTCATTTTACTTTGATTAAAAAAATTATTTAAAAATGTTAGTGTAATGGATGAAAGTAGACATAATGAAATAGTTGGAATCTGTGAGATAATGATGAATTTTACAGGTGAATATACCTCTCAGAGTTGTTCCTATCTTTAAAATAGGTGATGTCTAACATGTTTTACATTTGAAAGGATAACCACCAAGCCAAACTGATAGCCAGCAGTAGGAGACACATGTATCCAGGAAGACCCAAGATAAATCAGAAAGAAAATAGCTGAACTAAATACTTGGTAAAGTTGTATTAATGGATATATTTTGAATGCCATGCCTTGAAAAGGAGACTACACCCATTAGACATTGACAGAAGTTATCCATAATGTGTGTCCACAAAGGAGACTTGAATACATTTTAAAAGGAAGAAATAATAGACTTTTTTTTCTAACTACAGTGCAAGTAGAAACAAACACCCTCCAAGCCAAAACAACACAACAAACATACTGGATATGAAAAAAAAACTCTCAAAAACGACTCTTGTGTCAAAGAAGAAATCAAAACCACAACTTGAAACCATCTGGAAAATAATAGAAACATTACTATGGCGGAACGCTGCTTTCCAATGCCCGTTCTCTTCTCTTTTTACTAACAGAATATTGATTTTGTCGAGAGTGTCATTGACCAGCTAAAAACCCTATTTCACAACCCTCCTTTCAGTCATTGGGGCTGGGGGGTGGCCATGTGATTAAGTTCTCACCAATAGGATGCAAGGGATTATTGGTGGGCAGGGCTTCCAGGAAAGTTGCTTAAAAAGAAAGGTGACTCAGCTCTCTAATCAGCCTTTGGCATATGTGATCCCTGGGTCAGCCGTCTTCTTATCAGAAGATGTCTGATACATTCTAAAGGTAGATGAGTAGAAAGATAAAAGAGGTGTTCCTTAATAATATCCTGGGATTCATTCATTCCAGCCCTGGACTTCCTACCTCTTGGAGGGGTGGGGGGGATGGTGTGTGTGTGGTGGAAATCTTAACTCTTAAGTTGCTATTTTGGGTTTCTTTGTTAGTAGGCACAAACAAAATTCCTAACTGACATAGTCACATATCACAGTATATGGAATATAATTAAAGAATGAAAATAAACAAATGAAGCATGCAAGTCAAGAAATTAGAAACAAAAACAAAATCAAGGAAAGCAGAAGGAAGTAACGTTCAAACTGGAACTCAAAACATTAGAAAATGAAAAACAAAACAAAAAGAAAAAGATAAATCTAGATCATGAGAAGTAGATATGGAGATGAAATGACTTCTACTTTGCAAAACTCTGTGGAAATAAATTTAAAAATGTGGATTAAATAGATGATTTTCTTGGAAAATTTGCTACCAGATTGACTCCATATAGAAAGAAACTCAAAAAGGCTGGTAACAGTGAAGGAAATGAGATGGCCTTGATCTGAGACCAGTTCTGACTGCTCCCCCTGTATCTCCTTTGCTGTGGAGTTTGCCAGTGTGATTGAAGTGCATTTCTGGTGAGCAAGCCTCTGAGTGTGGCATGGCTGGTGACCTGTGTGCGGTCTCACACCAGGGTGGCCACACCAGGAGGAAGGGATTCTTGGCGTTAGGACTCATCACAAAATAAAGAGCTTTGAGTCTGCAGTGTTTTATACCATTTTTCAGATCCATATGTACTTAACCTTTTCTAGTAAGAAAAATGACTGAAAATTGTTTTTAATCATTTGTTCTTGCTGTCGGTCTCGCAAACAGTAAAAATGTTTACCTTAAAGTAAAAATGTTTCAAACAGTATATCCAAATAAGTAGCGAAGAAGATGTCAGAGCAGGGTTACACATAAAAAAGGTTGAGAGGGCCCTGGCTGGTTAGAGCGTTGGCCTGCGGTCTGGAGAGACCAGGGTTCGGTTCCCGCTAAGGGCATGTACCTCGGTTGCAGTTTGTCCCCGGCCCTGGTTGGGTCGTGCTGGTGGCAACCACTCGATGTGTCCCTTTCACATCGATGTTTCTCTCTCTCTCTCTCTTCCTCTCTCCCCCTCCCACTCTATCTGAACAAAAAATGTCCTCGGGTGAGGATTAAAAAAAAAAAAGGTTAAGAGGGTTGTTTTGACAGAAAAACTAATGACACGGAAAGAGAGAAAAGTGGTAAGCCTCAGAACACCATAGCTCTGAATAAATTTCATGGAAAAGTACCTGCTCTCAAACGCAGGTAACTGGAACATCCCTATTGGTTAAAAATAAATAGCCTAAAGTGTGAGGAAACCGGTTGAGGAAATAAAACGAAGCAACCAGAACAGCCCATCAGCTAGAGACAGAATCATGAAGTTATGCCAAAAGCTTCAGATCATTACACTAGTCCTCTACCCTAAGGCCAGGGTTCAAGCCCGGTGTTGACCAACACCACGGTCACATGCGCCCAGGGGCATCCAGAAAGGCCTCCTTGGACAAGCATTTGGTTCTGAAAGTTTCCTTGCTGATTAAGGTGTTTTGTTTTCATTGAACTTTGAAGTTCCCCCACGTAATCTTCATTTAAACAGATGTAATTCTAACCGAATGTCCTCTTTTACCCCATCTTCCCCTGGTAGCGAACCATGGAGCTGTATTTCGGTGAATATCAACACGTGCAGCAGGAATACGGTGTCCACCTGAGACTCGCAAGTGATGAAACCAAAAAATTAAGGAATTCCCCGCACCCTAAGCCAGGCTCCTATGGTGTCAGTATTCGGGTACAAGGAATCGATGGCCACCCCTACATCGTCCTGAATAACACAGAGCACTGCCTGCCAGGCACATCTTTTTCTGAAAACGGGCCATCCTTTCCACCTCCGGTGGTAAACAGCCTGCCTGTGCATCCCAGCAACGGGGCTGGGCTACAAGAAGACAGTGCAGAAGAATCGCAGCTTCCGGAAAACCCGTATGCCCAGCCCACCTCAGGGAAAACCCTGAAGCAACCTTCTCCCTTCGAGGGCAAGAATGGAGTTCTGGAATGCAAAGAGGGGCCAGTGACGCCATCCCACGTGCTGAACTCCCAGAGGCACCCAGAGCTTTTGCAGCCCTATGATCCTGAGAAGAGCGAGTCGAACGTTCGGCATCACCAGCCTCCTCAGAGCAATTGGCTAAAAACCTTAGCCGGAGAAGGTACTCACAAGAAGGGTTGGACTTGCTTTCCCAAACCTAGTGGTCCCCAGCCTACCAGCCTCTCTTTGGAGGACCTGGCCAAATCCAACGTGACGGCCATTCGTTTATGCAGCTCGGTGGTCATAGACGACCCCAAGAAGCAGACCTCGGTGTGCGTGAACGTGCAGAGCTGCGCCAAGCCGGGGCTGGCAGAGGAGGTCCTTTCCCCTAGCGGGAGAACCCCCCCTGCCCACAGCCCACACACCCACTCCGAAACCAAGAAAACCAGGCCAGACGTGCTTCCCTTCCGGCGACAGGACTCAGCGGGTGCCATCCTGGACGGAGGCCGCTCTCGGAGATCCTCCTCCTCATCCACAACGCCCACTTCGGCCAACTCCTTGTACCGGTTCTTACTTGACGATCAGGAATGTGCCATCCATGCTGACAATGTGAATCGTCACGAAAACAGAAGGTACATCCCCTTCTTGCCAGGAACGGGGCGGGATATTGATACAGGATCCATTCCTGGCGTGGATCAGTTAATTGAAAAATTTGACCAGAAACCTGGGCTGCAGAGAAGGGGAAGATCTGGGAGGAGAAACAGAATCAACCCAGAAGATCGGAAGAGGTCCCGAAGCGTGGACAGTGCCTTTCCTTTCGGTCTCCAGGGGAGCTCGGAGTACCTCAGCGAATTCAGCAGGAACCTGGGCAAGTCCAGCGAGCACCTGCTGCGCCCCTCCCAGGTGTGCCCACCGCGGCCCGCGGCCCAGGAGCACCGGCGGAAACAGAGCGCCGGCCGCGCCTCCGCCAGGCCGCAGGCAGCCCACCCCAGGCCTCCCCAGCAGAGCAAAGACGGGAAAGTTCTAGAAAGCAAAGGTGGTCAGGAAGGGATACCCTCGTGTGCACCCTCTCTCCCAGCACAGAATAAGAAGGAGGAAGAAATCAAAACAGCCACTGCCACGCTGATGTTGCAGAGTTGGGGGCTCGCGACTTCACCTGACTCGGGGGCCAAGAAGATTTCTGTGAAGACATTTACTTCCACCTCAAATACTCAGGTAATACTAGTGGGTCTTCTTCCCCTTCGAGACCCTGCAGCCTTGTGCTGAGGGGGCTGTAGAAATACATACCCTACGTCTGGAATGGGTGGTGGCACGTTGGTTGTTTTTAAAGATTTTGAATTGAATTTTTAAAGAGACAGAGAGGGAAACATTGATTAGCTGCCTCCTGCACGCCCCTCACCCGGGCTTGAGCCCCTCACCCTGCCATGTGCCCTGACTGGGAATTGAACCAGCAACCTTTTGGTGCACGGGACGACGCCCAGCCAACTGAGCCACACTGGGCAGGGCACACATCGATTTGTTTAAAAGAGTTTTTCCTACGGATATGTCCTACTGCCAACTGTATGGTTTTCTAAGTTAATTCAAGTACAATTATATTTCCACTGGGCCTTCTCTGTGAAGTAACTGGTCAAACACTACAGAGAAGTTTGACTTTTCTGTTTGTATAGATGTGAAATCAGGAAGTACTTGGGCTTTGTTTCCACACAGAGGCTCAGTGCGTAAGTTTGTGTTGCTACATTAATTTTCCTCATGAACTTGAGTGAGTGGGTTAATTTCTGGCCTGAGAAAGTAGGTTAATCCTAATTTAAGGTTAACCCTAAAGTGATGGCATGTAAGTGGTACATTTAGTGTTTTGGTAGACAATAAAAAAAATTAATGATAATGATAAAAACGATAATAAGGTTAGTTAGTATCAGGCACTATTTGTTGTAGATTATAGGATGGGCACCAGCCCTGTGAAGGTGAGCCCTGTTAACCTCAATTTACAGGTGAGAACATCGAGGTGAGGGAAAGTTAAATAACTTGCCCAAGGTTACAGGGCTACTTAGTGAGTGGTGGAACCAGTTGTAACGAGGATCCTTACCTGAGGAGTCATTTTTGGAAAGTAGGAATGTGTATGGAAGCTCCGGCGCTCGGGCCTTCCCTCCTTCCTGGGAACACCGTCCCGGGATCTAATGACCACATTCTGTTCCAGGCCACACCGGATCTGTTAAAAGGCCAGCAAGAGCTCACTCAGAAAACCAATGAGGAGACGGCCAAGCAGATACTTTACAATTACCTCAAAGAAGGGTTAGTGTTTTTCCTTAAAGCAGCGAAATATTGTCATTTCTTGTGGGGCTCTTCCCTCGCTTTCCCGGGACCTTGGGTTTTGCCCTCCCCTGCTGCCCGGTGTGATCCATGTGAGGGTTAAGAGTCCGTGGCTGGAGTTTTCACGGCAGCACTTAAATCTCGGGTGGCTGGGAGTGAAGGGCAGGGGAGGGGATGCTAGGGAAGGACATCATACTTTAAAAATTAAAAATGAATATATGTTTCTAAATGATTCTACTGAATTTGTTGCGAAAGACAAAAGATAGGAAGGATGTCTGTTACTCAGCTTTGCACGAAGTCTGCCATCTCCTTGAGTCCTTCCGTGCGCACAGTAGGAGCCTGACGTCCTTTGTAGAAGTTACAAGTAAAAACACCTCCTTCCCTCCCCAGAGCCGACACTGGCCAGAGCCCCTGCTCCCATTATTTTTAAAGCATGTATGAGTCATTTAAAAGCGGTGCTTTCCACAGACTTATCTTGGAGGGTGAGTTGGCATAATCTGGCTTTCAGTCTGTACTTAGATACTAATTGTGCTGGCATTCGAGGTCGGGAATGTGCAGTTTCTGTTTCAGTTCTCTCATCAGATGTGATTAAAAAGAAAAAAAAAAAAGCTTCACAGCCTGACGTGACTGAAAGTCACATGGCAAACACTCATTGATAGCAAAACACTTCACATTTTTTTGTATTGTGCCTTACAATTATTTGTCAGTAACATAGAGCTGACAATATAGCAATATAGTTAGGTTCAACCTAAAAGATAAGGGCTGTTTTTGAAAACACACACACACACACACACACACACACAAAACAACAACAGTAACCAAAGAAATTATTCTTCTACCTAAGAACTAGTTATTAGTGTCTCTCTGTAAAGGGTTTTACCATATTAAGGTTAAGGTTAGAAGAACTTTGGATTTTTTAAAATTCTCTAAACTCTTATTTATTTATTTATTTTGGTTTATGATTTGAGAGGCTGGTGAGCCAGACTTTAGCTGGAAGTGCCTATTTAAGGAAACATTAAAAAAAAAATTTTCCCCCCTAATTGCCAGGTCTGTGTGATAGCAGGTGTGGGTGAGGTTAATAAGACTTTAGCCAGTCATCACCTGCCAAAGTCTAGACAAAGGGCTGCCGTGTTGACAGTCTTGGCTTGGGGGGTTTATTTTTTTTAGACCTAGGCTGAACAAGGTAAGATCACTGCAGATCAGTCTTAAGCATTAAAAGTAAAAATGTGGAGAAATCCCTTGTTGGAATGAATATAATGCATTTGACTCAAAACAACAAATTACTAACTTTTCACTGGATGTACCCTCCAAGCTTATTTAGGGTGCTGTTGTGTCTCTTTCACACGTTTGGAAGCGGGAACCCCTCTCTCAAATTGAGTGGTAACGTAGGACAGTTTATTCGATGAAAAAAATACACCTGTTCATCCTGCCCTTCTCACACTGGTTTTGTAATTTTTTGGTAAAACAGATCATGCCTCTCGCCCTTTGTCTTCTTAGAGGGCTTGTGTGTGTCACAACACTCAGGATGTTCTGAGACCAGGGGTGGCCCCTCACTGTTGTCTTTCTTCCGCCTCGTTTCCAGGAGCACCGAGAATGATGATGCCACGAAAAGGAAAGTCAACCTGGTCTTTGAGAAAATCCAGACTTTAAAGTCTCGAGCAGCAGGGAGCACACAGGGAAGTAACCAAGTAAGCTGCAGTTTTGTGTCTTGCAGAGGCGCTCAGCGCCGCAGTGGCAGCCGCACCGCTGTCCCCTCAGGCTGTGCGAGCGGTTATGGCACCAGCGGGAGGGTTCCTGAGCAGGGAGCTGCCCGAGACGGAAGAGCGTGTTTTACATGATATGAACTTGCACTCTGCCTCTTTTTAATCTCAGAAAGGTTTTGCGATTTTATTTAAACAATATATAAATATAATAGGATGGGCCAGGCTGGTTTGGCTTAGCAGTTAGAGCACCGGCCCAACAGTTAGGTTGGGTTCGATTCCCAGTCAAGGGCGTGTACCTGGGTTGCAGGTTTGGCCCCCAGTCCCAATTGGGGTCCTGCGGGAGGCAACCAATCAATGTTTCTCTCTCACATCGATGTTTCTCTCTCTCTCCCACTCCTTCCCTCCCTTCCTTCCACCGTAACTAAAAATCAGTGGAAAAATATCCTCAGACAGGGATTAACATAAAAAAATATATAATAGGATGAAACGAATTTAGAAAGGGAAAATAAGACCAGAAAGAATAAAGCATACTGATGGATAGAATACCCTAGCATTGTCATAGGCAAATCCGGAAGGGGAGTGTGAACTGGCTCAGCCCAAGCTCTGGACTTCAGAGAATCAGGACAAGAGACCGTGGAATAGAGACAGGCGGAGCCAGCCGGTGTCGGTGGAAGAGAAAGGAAGGATTGGAGTGGTGCCACATTCTTTGGAAAAAATAAACACTGCCTGTTTAATTAATTGTAATGAATTAGACTTGGGACTTGGAGATTTTTTTGTTTAAAAAGGATTCATCTCGTAGTTGATGAACATCTACTATATGTTGGACACACCTTGTACCCTGAAAGGAAGTAGCACTTAAGGGAGATGACTGAACACTTCACTCCATCCTGCACCGCCGTGAATTGGGACCCATTTCATGCTTGTGTGTCTTTACTTTCTCCTCCCAGGGTAATTCTACATGGGCCGGAAGGAGAAGATACCCAGAGGCGGGTAATAGGAAGTTTGTTTATAGCTTCTTTTCAACTTTGGAAAAATGTATAGAGGGTATTTTTAGGCATCAACTACCTTCGTTTCTCTACTGTTCTGTATTCCCTTAGCATTCAGCTAACCTATGACTGCTGCTGTGGCATCAAATACAACTATATACATGTGTATGTGTGTGTGTATATCTACATACATGCACAGGGGGTGGGCAAAAGTATATTTACAGTTGTTTGTATGGAAAATTCAATAATAATAATATAAGAATAAATTGTCACATACAACTGTAAACTCACTTTTGCCCACCCCATATATAACATTTATTGATATATATATATATACACACACACACACACACATATATGTGTGTGTGTGTGTGTGTATTAGATGTTCCCACTGGGGAATCTTTAAAATATGTTTCTTTAAATTGATTTTTAGATAGAGAGGAAGGGAGAGAAAGAGAAACATCGATGTGAGATAGAAACATTGATTGGCTGCCTCCTCCACACCTCCTATGGGAATTGAGCCTGCAACCTGGGCATGTGCCCTGACTGGGAATCGAACTGGCAACCTCTTTTGCACGGGACCACGCTCAATCCACTGAGCTACTCTAGCTGGGCCCACTGGGGAATTTTTAGATTATACATTTTGCTTCAGGAACACGACATTGTTCTTAAAATTAGCTTAGGATTTTTTTGCCAATACTCTTGAATCATCATTCTAACTCTTGCTTTTCATTTACCTGCATATTCTTAGGGAGAACACATCCTTTGGTCTTTTTTTCTTTTTTCTTTTCACATCCTTTGGTCTTGATGTTATGATTGTCATTGTGGGTCACAGAATAGGAGTATCCCGCCCATACTGGGGATCAGGATAGCCCTTCTGGAGTTTCTAGCACTAATGGTGTCTCAAAAGATTATAGAATCCTCTGACAGAAGGAAGGCAGGGCGCTGTATGTAGAGGGAATGGCGCAGGCAGATATAAAATGCACAGACGCATGTGTTTGCCAGGTTGAGGGGGTGGAGGTAATTTTGTGGCTGGAGCAGAGAGCATGTGGGGATGAAGCACCAGGTAGGAAAGACCTCAGAAATCGCATAAGCTTCCATTTCAGACTGAAGGTGATGGGCTACCATTGATGGACTTTAACAGGAATAACTAGCATCACAGAAAACATGTTCATTGCTTTTGTAGAGTTTTGCAAGAGGTAAGATTAGAGGAAGGGAGACCAGTTAAGAAGCGCTGCTGACTCAGGTGGGAGGTGGTGAGGAGACGGGAGAAGGCTCCGGGCGAAGGCTCCGGCCACAGTGCCCTGGCTGCTGGATTGCCCGTGTTTTCCTGCTCACTTTGCCTTCCTCTTATTTTCTGAATCTGATTATTTGCTGGCAAAGGCTTGGAGTTTTATCTTCTTGGTGTCAGTTAAGTGATTTTCTGTGAGAGAATGTAAGAACCCTCTCCAGGCCGACTTTTTGTTTGGGAAAGAGCCGTGTACAAGTTCCCTCAGGGACTGGGTTTAGATTTCTGAAATGGATTGTTCTCATTTTATCTAAGAGAATTGGAAGTCCTGTATTTTTGTTGACTGAGGGGCGGGGGGCAGGGTTCTCGTTAACTTCACCGGAGTAGGTGAGGAAACACTTTATTCCAGGTTCATCATACACAACTCACACCTGGATTCAGGTGCATGAGGGCCAAGTCACTGCCGTTTTGCGCTTTGATTCCTGCTTGTATTCCCCGCTCCCATTTGTAGTTTTCTAACCACTTTGTTATAGGATTTTAGCCAAATCCTTTTGAGAACATCATCCTATTATTATGTCCGTGGAAGAAAAAGAAAGAGATCCATTTATATTTATACTCAGATCAGAGATGTTTTCTGATAGACTCTCTTTAATCAGATCCCTTCTCATTATATCTTTCTCTGTTATGGAAACATGATATCTAAAAGAAGAAAACCAATGTCGCTGGTGTACATTCATTTACTGCTTGCATGTAGGCATATACAGAGTGTGGGATAAACATCTCATTGGTGCTTATGGAGCAATAATTCCCAATTGGATAAACATCTCATTGGTGCTTATGGAGCAATAATTCCCAATCTAATGAAGATTCTCTAATAGATTTTTATGCAAAGGGCCTTGGGAACACAGAGACATGGGCTTTGGGTATTACTTTATGCAATAGATGAATCTTCACAAATATTTATTTTTTTCTTTTTACATTGTTTTATTTGGGTATAACTTATAGTAAATTGCACAGATCTTAGTTTTTTAGTAAATTACATAGTTTTCTTTGTAAATTACATAGTTTATATATAAAAATTTATATATATATTTATGTTTTTATTGACTTTAGAGAGAGAGGGAGAGAGAGAGAATGAGAAACATTGATTGCCTCCTGCATGCACATGTACTGGGGATTGAGCAGGCAATCTGGGTATGTGTCTTGACTGGGAATTGGACCAGGGACCTTTCAGTGTACAAGATGACGCTCAACCAGTTGAGTCACACCAGCCAGGACTCACCGATTTAAAAAAAAAGTTTTTTTTTTTCTTTATTGATTTTTAGAGAGAGAGGAAGGGAAAGGGAGAGAGAAACATTGATGAGAGAGAACATCAATTGGATGCCTCTTGCATGCCCCCCACTGGGGATTTGGCTCACAACCTGGGCCTGTTCCCTGACTGGGAATCGAACTGGCAACCTCTTGGAGCATGGGTTGACACTCAACCACTGAGCCACAACGGCTGGGTGAGGCTCACTGATTTTTAAAAAACATAGGTATGTGTCTATGCAAACACCACTCAGATCAAGATATAGGGCACTGCATCACCCCAGAAGGCTTCCTCATGCCCCTTTTCTGTAGGAGTCTACATGGGAATTGGGTCTTAAGATTTTAGTGTTACCGGTCTGATTGTATTTTGAGGGAAAGAGAATTAAAATAAATCACCTGGAACATTTCAATTAGGATATCATTGCAATTGATTGTAGGCTTCTAATTCTTCATCTGAAGTCAAAGATCTATTGGAACAGAAAAACAAGTTGACCACAGAAGTGGCTGAACTTCAGAGACAGCTTCAACTAGAAGTCAAGGTACCTGATTTTTCCTATGTTATTTTTTCCATTTCTGCCTTGATTGATAAAGAATAATTTAAGTACCTTGGGATGCCCAAGTGAACTGAAAGTCAAATTTCTTTTCCCCCGAAAGAAACACGCCTCTCACTGCAGAAGTAAATTCCTGTATATTTGGCTCCTATAGTCCAAAGAACTTGTGTTTGTTTTTTTAAAGTAACCAGAGCATATAGCGACTGTTTGCTTATGTATCACAACCCATTAAATATTTAATATTGTTTTTAGTTACAATCTCCTATGCCTTAATTATATTGTTTGATTAATAATAATGTAATTAATAATATAAGTGCAAAGACACGGAGTCCATCAGAGTTTAACAGGCTTCTGTGGCATAACAATAATGTATGATAGAGGTACTTTAAAATCACCTGTGTTCATGTTAGAATCAACAGAATATCAAAGAAGAGAGAGAGAGAATGAAAGCAAACTTGGACGAGCTCCAGAGCCAACACGACAGTAAGGTGAACGAGAACTCCCTGCTGCAGCAGCGCCTGGAAGAGAGCGAAGGGGAGCTCCGGAAAAATCTGGAGGAGTAAGTTCTGGCCCAAGAGCCTGTGCCCTTCCTGGGTTCTTCATCCAGTTCCGCCAGAACCTTTTTTGTCCATTTAGTACTTACCCGGTCTCCCAAATATTTTTAGCGGCTGCTGACTCTTCCTTTTCTCCCTGGCAAGCAGAAAGGTTAATAATTTTCAAATTCTTTGTACACCTTAGAGCATGTCTTGTCAAGTTTCAGCCCTTACAGTGCTATCATAGCCAGGGAAGTGAGAAGCAGGGGACACTGAGTGGTGATGTCTAAAGATGAGATTTCACGGAGCCTGGGCCCAGCCTCCAAAAAGCACATGTCATGAGACCTCCATACTCTCCCAGTGTGTGAATTTTAGCCTGGAGGGTGCTGGTCTCTGTGACCTGTGCTTATACTTCTGTTGCGTCCGCAGAGATGGAAAGTCAAGCCCAAGGTGGCCCTGTCATTGTGTTGTATTAAAATCTGTGGAAAAAAGATCTGAAACTAAGGTCTGAAAAGGTACAGTGCGAAGAAGCCCCGTGGCCATGATGGAAACTTTAAGGGAAGGTTCAAGCAGGAGTGAGGTCTGGAGGCAAAGTCAAGAAAAACTGGACATTTTATTATAAAAGCATTTAATTGCCTTGGTAATTTTGACGGGGTAGTTTTTGCTTTTAAAACATTCTTAGGGGTTATTTTAGAAAAGAAGTTGGTAAGAAAACAACCAGAAAATTTAGGGTGTAGTAAAGCCTTTACAGAATAAAAAGGTAGAATAGTTGTGAATTTGATTTAGAGCAGAGGTTGGCAAACTTTTGTCAGATAGTAAATACTTTATAGTTTATGAGCCATATGGTCTGTGTTGGAACCACTCAATTCTGCCATTGTATTGTGTAAATGACCGTAAGCAATACATAAAGGAATGAGCATGGCTGGATTCCAATAAAACTTTATTTATAAAAATAGGCAGCGAGCCAGATTGGCCCATAGGCCATAATTTGCTGACTCTTCTGGTCCACAGTTCTTGAGGGGGGTGGTGCAGAGAATGGGAGGCTCCTTGGGGCTTTAGGTGACTCTGCTCGTGCACCTGAAGGTCTGAACTCAGACTGGATGAAAATAAGCAGAGCTCAGGAGAGTCTGTCTGACGAACTTTCTTTCCTGTCAGGCTGTTTCAGGTGAAGATGGAACGGGAACAGCACCAGACTGAGATCAGGGATCTCCAGGACCAGCTCTCAGAAATGCACGATGAATTGGACAGTGCTAAGCGATCCGAGGACAGGGAGAAGGGGGCTCTGATTGAGGTAAGGGGACTGTGGGGTCAGGTGACAAGACAGGCCCCATCTGCCTGAAGGGGATGAGATGGTGGAGGTGGGGTGGGGACTGAGTGCCGTGAGCCACATTCTGTTTCATGCATTTGCCCCACCTGTGCCCAGGGTTAGATTCTATAAGAGCACTGTATGTAATACATGTTTAAACATTGTCTTAGGAAACTTTCAACCATACAGAAAAGTAGAAAGAATACTGCATTAACTCCCATAAAGCCCCAGCCCGGATCCAACAGTTGTCAACATTTTACAATATTAATTCATCTGTTCATCCATTCATCCTTGTTTTTTACATGCATCCATTTGTTCATCTTTGCCGAACCAATTCAAAGTAAATTACCGATAACACTACGCCTCACTCCTAAATTCTTAAGCACACATCTTTTAAAAATTAGGGAATTTTCTTACAACCATAATACTGTCATCACACCTAAAAAAATGACTCCTATAATATATAATGTAATACAAATTCTAATACCTGGACCCTTATTAAAAAATTTCCAGTTGTTTTCCAGGTATATTTTATGGCTGTGTTCCCCCTGCCTCCCAGCCAGGATCCAGCCAAGAATCCCACATTCCTTTCACTGTTATCTGAGTTTGCATTTACCCTGGTATAGCCTGCCCCCCTTCCCTACTCCCTGCTTTTTTTCTCCTGTCCCATCGATCTTCAGATAAACTAGACCAGTGCCCCACTGATTTGTCTGGCTTATTTCCTGATGGAGTCCATTAACTGTTATTCTACTATCCCCTGTATTCTAGTAGATTTGTATTTAGATCTCTACACTAATAGATTTAGGTTAAAGTTTGGGCAAACATACTTTGTAATGCTATTTATGGAAAAGTATTGAAAAGACATGAATGCCCATACAGCACTTATGACAGGTTAAATTTTTATTAAGGCCCCACAAGACTGTAAGCTCCAGAAGGGCAGTGTTGGTGACGGTTGGCTCAGCATCTCCATAGCAGCTGCCCCAGTGCTGGGGACATACAGTACTCAGTAAATATTTGGTGGTTGGTTGGATGGATGCATTATGAGTAAGTGAATGAATGAATGAATGCATGAATCCATTTGCTATGTACATAGACTGCCCTTCTGGCCTCTGACCATATTAGTATATTCCCCATTAAATATTTAGCTCTTCTCAATAAATGAGTAAGTGGATAAGATTGACTCTTACCTCTGCTTAGCATTTGTTAATTATTATGGGGCTTTACAAAGACAATTATTATTTTCCCTCTGAATTGGATTCCCATCTTGTTGAAGTGTTAGATGCACACATATAAAATTATTAGAGAACAAGAATAGGTTTTGAATGTCTGTTTTTTGTTGGGAGTGAGTATAATTGAGGGTGCCAAAAGGACAGAAGTTTTATCTCTATGCCCATTTAGATGTTTTGATATTTACTATAACATTATCATCACCTGTATTTTTGGCATAGTGTTGAAATTTATTTCCATAATAAGCTTTGTTTTGTAGGAACAGCTCAAAAAATAAATGACACACAATTTAGAATAAAATAAAAAAAATAATCAAATAAGAAAGGTACCTTGTTAGGATTGAATTTTTTTTTTTTTCTACTGCTTTCTCCCTAAGGGCTGTCTTTTCTTTGTCCCTTTCTTGGGGTTAAAAGCTGCTAAAGTTCCTTAAGTCTCTGCTGTCAATTGTTTTCTCACCTCCTTCCTTGTTTAGTTTTGAAGTAGTTCCCCAGGAAGGATTTCAGTTCCTGCCCTTAGAACTCAGCCTCCCTCTTCCCCATGACTTGGCAGAGAGCTGAGCACAGTGGCCACACCGCCCAGGAGTTCTCACGAAGTCATTTTCACATGGTTGTAGAGGGGAATCATTTCTCTTCTCCCACATGGCTCTCTCTCTCTCTCTCTTTATTTTTATTTATTTTTTTATCCTCACCCGAGAACACTTTTCCATTTTTTGTTCAGATAGAGTGGGAGGGAGAGAGAGGAAGCGAGAGAGAAAAACATAAACGTAAAAGGAACACATCGAGTGGCTGCCACCCGCACGACCCATCCAGGACTGGAGACGAACTGCAACCAAGGTACATGCCCTTAGCGGAAACCGAACCCGGGTCTCTCTGGACCGTAGGCCGACGCTCTAACTGCTGAGCCAAACTGGCCAGGGCATGCGCTCACACGTGCTCCCACTCTCTCCCTCTATTTTTTTTTTTTTTATCCTCACCCGAGGACACTTTTCCAATTTTTGTTCAGAAAGAGTGGGAGGGAGAGAGAGGAAGAGAGAGAGAGAGAAACATCGACTTGAAAGGGACACATCGAGTGGCTGCCACCCGCACGATCCAACCAGGGCCGGGGAAAAACTGCAACCGAGGTACATGCCCTCAGCAGGAACCGAACCCTGATCTCTCTGGACCGCAGGCTGACGCTCTAACTGCTGAGCCTAACCGGTCAGGGCTACAAAATGAAATTTTAGAATAAGGGTGGGTGGGTGGAAAAATACTTATTTTCCTAACATCTTAACAATTGTTATTTCTACATTTTCTGTTTGCCTCCCTACCCATTGATGGGTTTTATCTACCTGCCCATAATGTAGGCACAATAACAATGTCCCACAGTTATGATATCTGCTTTTAAATGTCAGAAACATTTTTCTTTGTTACACCTTATAGTCTATATGTAATTTTTGTCTTTGTTGATTTTAGAGAGAGAGGAAAGGAGAGGGAGAGATAGAAACATCGATGAGAGAGAACATCGATTGGCCGCCTCCTCCATGCCCCCCCACTGGGGATTGAGCCCACAACCTGGGCATGTGCCCTGACCTGGAATTGATCCAGTGACCTCCTGGTGCATGGGTCGACGCTCAACCACTGATCCACACTGGCCAGGTTGTATTTCATTTTTAAGGAGATAAATCACACTATATTTAATCATTCTCCTATATTTAAATAGTTTATTTTTTTTAATTATGAAAAAATATGGCAAACATTTTTTACATGTACCCTGTACTGCTTAGAAAAATATTCTAAAGATAATTTCTCAGAAATGATGTCACTGAATAGTTTATGGCTTTCAGTAATAAAATGTAGCTTCACAAACAAATTTAAATAGAAAGTAAGGTGTTGACATATTTTATGGTGACTTGTGTGGATACTTCATTGATTTTAAAAGGGAAAGATGTTATCTTAGCTATTGGGAAGTTCCTTAAGTTGCTGAATTTTCCCAATCATTGAAACCTATAGTTGTTATTTGCCCTTTTCCCTGATAGCCTCTATCCTTTTAAATTCTTTATTTTAGTACGTTGACCTTGCCCTATTATTGTATCTATCTCTTTCTTCTGGCCAGTTAACTCAATGACATAAGGTCCTTGGATCTTCTCCATTTCGTGCCAAGCAACAGAGCAAATGAATACAATAGTTTCAGTATCTAAATTGTTTTTTAAATGTCACCATTTTAAAAAAGAATATTTTAAAAATGAGCTGAATGCTTCTTTGCATCTTTAAACACAATATGCTGTGCCTGTGTGAATGAACATAATTTAATAAATTAAATAGTTTATTCATGTATCCGTAGTGGTGACTAGGATGAGAATGTGAGCCTCAGTTTTGGTGATGTGTTTGCAGGAAGAGGCCGATGATGAGCGAACAGGAAAGGGAAACAGAGCAGGTCTTTTCTCAAAGCGTTCCTGATATTGCTGGCTTTCTGGTTGCCTCTTTCCTGAAATGGGACCCGTATCATGTATTGCTGCCCTTCTGCAGGATGAGATAGGGCCCAGTTAGCTTCTGAACGCCAAAGTGGGGTTCCCTCCCACTGGAACACTCCTCACTGTTTTAAATCAGTTTCCTAGGACTCGTCAGTGCAAAACATGATCAGAAAAGAGACCCCATCTCCTTGTCACTTTCAGTTTATTTGTCACATCTTCCTAAGAAGTGGCCTGGGGAATCTGGTAACAGGTTATAGTTATGGCCAAGTTTCCCATGACATTTGGCTTAGAACAGACTCTTAAACACAATGGACATTAAACACACTATGCTTTTGAATGTTTGAAAAGGCCCAGGGCCCTATATTTCATGAGATGCCCAATGCACAAGAATTTTCACGAAATCTCTCCTAACACTACTTAATGTTTTATTAAATAGCATTGGACCCCTATATGGAACCAGTCAAGTAACATTAAGAAAGAATACAGTGGTGTTTTGTTTTTTTGTTTTTGTTTTTAAAGGAGAAAGGAAGGAAGGAAGGAAGAAAGAGTGGAAAACAATCCTGTTTTCTCTGGATAGACCATACAGTTGACCAGCAATAGGATGACCTTTTTATTCTTAAACCACGGAGGGTTCTGAATTTTTGTTTTTTACTCAGGTTACAGAATGATTATAGAACACTTTTTCAACCACTTCTTTGTCCAAAACTGTGTTTCCCTGCCTTCTGGGGCACCTGGGCGGACGTCAGCCTCTGTCCAAGCGCCACGCCGGTGGAGCTTTCTCTCTGCTGACCAGCGTCTCCGGGGGGAGCCCCGCGTGCTCACGGCCGGGCCTTGCTGGCAGCCTGTGCTCCATGCCTGCCGTTTGCCAAGACCGAGTCCTTCAAGTACCAGCAAAATGTGCTGGTTATGAAATTGCATTGATCTGGGGATAGACTGTTCTCAGAAATATTACTGAACAGTGTAGGAATTTTAATGAAACAACTTTAAAAATCATGGTTCTCACTAACCTGTTATCCTTCGTGGGCCAGCCTTCTGGAAGAAAATTGGCGTAATTCTCTGTCAGCTACAGTTCCGATATGAACCCTTTCACTCACCCTTTAATGGAGCACGGCTCAGAGATAGGGACCCTGTGGAACCTCTGGGAAGCCTTTATGCAGACGAGGGTTGAGATTAGTGTTTTTCTCATTTTGACCTGGAATACCTGTGAGTAGGTGGCACGTGAAATGCAGTGTCCTGTGGGCCAGTGAGTTGCTGCTTTGGTCATTCTGGTGTGTGTCTTAGTGCGCCTGTTGTCAGGACCTCCACTTGGGGCTGCTGGTCCCAGCGTGTACTTCCTTTTTCTTTCAACTTTCCTTCCTTCCTGTCTTTTTAAGTTCATATCATGTTTCTTTGCTCTAGTTTGGAAGTGTTTAGCACAAGTCTTATTATGTAGTAAGTACCACACACAGTCAACTTTTTTCATTTTTTTTTTAATCCTCACCCGAGGATATTTTTCCATGTATCTTCAGATAGAGTGGGGTGGAGGGAGAAGGAGAGAAAGGGAGAGAGAGAGAAACATCGACGTGAGAGGGACACATCGACTGGTTGCCTCCCGCATGACCAGGGCGGGGGACAAACCGCAACGGAGATAGGTGCCCTTGGCCAGAATCAAACCCGCGACTGATTGGTCACAGGCCAATGCTCTACCGCTGAGCCAAACTGGCCGGGGCTCACAGTCAACTTTTATAGCCCCCCGCACCCACACACACGTACACACTGGGCTCTTTCATCTCCTGGCTCTTTCCTGTGTGCAGCAAGCCTAGGTTTTGAAGTGCTAATTCAGAATGGCCAGGGTTTGCCCCTGTTTTCTTCTTTATTGTTGCGATTTTTATGAATTTATTTTTGTTACAGATGTTCCCCCCTCCGCCCCCCGACGCCCTCCTTCCAATCCCCCCTCCTTGTTTTCTTTGGTTGGAGTCTGTAGGAGGCATGTTCATTTCCAATGGGTGTTGACTTATATTTTGAAGTTTTTATATTATCTCTGCATTCTTTGGCCTGATATAATTGTCAATCAAGCCACTGAGGTGATGAAGTGACATTTTTGAAATCTTCTGTGCTTTTTTGGTCTCTACTCTGGAAAACTTCAAGTGCTCCTAAGTGATATGGGGAGGTGTAATCTGATTGGATCTGTGCAGCGCAGTCCACTTAAGCAGCAGCCCCAGCCTCAGATAGCGGCGCATGGGTATAGAATGGACCATAGAACGAGGTTTTTAGCATGCATTGGCGGCAGTACACACAAGGCAGCTCCAAACACAGATATGTCCTGGAAAAGATAAGTGTGGGAAGAGGAACTGCCTTATCGTGAAAACAATTGAGAAACGTGTGAGAGTAAGAGCAGGAAACGGGTCAGATTCACAAGGACTGTGGTGCAGAGGCTGGGGGAGGCTCCCGGAAGACCTACCAGGAGCCAGTGGCCACAGTGATGGGGAGTCTCTGCTAGTCCCGAGGGAGGGGCTGGGCAGTGGCCTCTCTGACATTAGCCACATGGCTGCCTCTGTCTGAAGTGCTCTTTCCTTTCAGTCCACCTCTCTCTGCCTTTCAGAAAATCTCTGAAGACTCATATAATATGACCGCCTCCAAGAGGTCTTCCGTGAATGACCTCCCTGAATGCCCAAGTCCTTGCCCTTTGATAACTATCAGGACAGGATTCATAATCCTAAGATTTGCTTCTGTTTTGTGTTTGGTGCTTTGGAGGAGCCAGTTGCCTTAGCTACCTGGACAAATCTCTTGATGTTGCATCTGAGCATCAATGCTTGTAGATTCCTGAAGGGCTACGTCTTAGTCTGTGCCATGCAGCCCTACCCTGGGACTGCGGTGGTTCCCCTGGTTCAGTGGATGTGCATGTCCTAAAAAAAAGGAAAGAGAATTCCATTGGCCGTTATACTTAAATCAATACGAATATTTTTACTCCATTAGTGACACTTCTTCAGTGGAACGTAGCTTTTCTCTGAGGCCTCAAGCCCCCAGGTAGCAACCATTCCTCTGATTCCCCAGGAGTACTCCGAAGCCACCATTGAAAAAATAGACTGCACATGTTCTTTTACTTATATCCAGAGCAGACGTATTCTTGATATTGTTAATCCATTTATTAAAAATAGGGTAAATCAGATCTGTATCCTTCTTTCAAGGAGCTGACAGTCCAGCAGGGGAGATAAGAAAAGAAATATATGAACTGTGAAATAAAGGTGTTAAGTGCTGTGATAAGTACAGCTAAAGTGAGATGGGCATTCAAGGAGGGCATTCAAGGAAGACTTCCTGGAGGCGGTCATATATGAGTCTTCAGAGATTTTCTGAAAGACAGAGAGAGGTGGGACTGAAAGGAAAGAAGGGCACTTCAGACAGAGGCAGCCATGTGGCTAATGTCATAGAGACCACAGGAGAGAGACTGGATGTAGGCAGCAATGGGGTGGCTATTGCAGACCACCTGGGCAGTAGGTGATGAGAGCCTAAACCAGGGAGGTGAGGGAAAGGATGGAAGATGTTACAGAACTGACTTTTCGATTATGAGGGACAAGGACAGGATTGGTCAGGTTGCTGCCAAGCTTCTCAGCAGGTGGTGTCATCACAAGAATAATGAACAAAGGAAGCAGAAAGGAACATGATGAAAACACAAACTAGTGAGTCCGAGGTGTTCTTGGGACATGCAGATGGATGTGCCTAACAGGTCATTGAAAGTGCAAGTCTGAATTCAGTTTAAGAATCGGAGGTAAAGGTTTGGGAGTTATTTACATAGAATTCATAGTTGGAAAAAAATAGAGGAGCTTGCCAAAAAAGAATAAAGACTGCAAAGGTGCATTCTTGGGGATCATCTTAGCTTTTGGGAAGAGGGAGAAAAAAGCCAGAAAAGATTGTCACAGAATAAGTGGCCGGAGGGAAGAAAGCAGGAAAGTGTAGTGACTTTGAATTTCATGGCAAAAGAAATTTTAAGGAGACAGGTGGGGAGGATCAAAGAGAGGGGTCCAGAAAAGTGAGGACTGAGAAGGGGCCATTGGATGTGGTGATGAAGAGGTCACTATGACTTTGGAGGGGGCAGTCTAAGTAGAGTAGGAACAAAAGCCATAGCAAGAGATGAAGGAGTGAATACTAGTAGGTGATCAAGAAACAGAGGCAGCGAACAGAAAGTATACTTTCAGAAAGTTCGATAGTAGTCCTGGCTGGTGTGGCTCAGTTGGTTGGAACATTATCTTGTATACTGAAAGGTTGTGGGTTCAATTCCTGGTCAGGGCACATACCCAGGTTGATTTGATCCTTGGTCAGGAGCGTGCAGGAGGCAACCGATCGATGTTTCACTCTCACATCAATGTTTCTCTCTCTCCCTCTCCCTTCCTCTGTCTCTGAAATAGAAAAATTAAAAAAGTTTGTGTTTTTTCGTTGTTGACCCAGAGGGTTCTTGTGCCTTGAGGGAAAGGACGTAGATGCCCGGAAACAGAAAAGAACAAAGTGACGGGAAAAAGGATAACTGGTAGAGCAAGGACGTGGAGCGGCTCCGTGCTGGGGCCAGGGCCTGCCGTGCAGAGGCCTGGGGAGAGGGGATGCTCGGGCAGTCGTGCCCAAGTCCCGCTGACCGTGAAGAGAGGGAGCCTGCACGGGGGGCGGGCTCTGAGCTCCGGGAGAGCTGCGCAGGTCTGGGGGAAGCTGGCAGCCCCAAAGGCAGCCCTGCTGAGCTGTGGTAGAACACACTGAAGTTTAGGGAATGCAGTTTGTGGACTTGTTGCCCCAGTTCTGTGACTTCTTATGAACTCTGAGCGGCTGAGGAGAAATGTGAATACTTTGCCCTGCTCAGATGGAAGGAGGCTGGGGCAGGGGCAGCCCCGGGACTGGGATCACAGATTAAGGGTTCCAGTGGAGTGTGAAGTAAGCGAGGCCAGCAAGTTGGCATGAACCCCGTGAAGCAACAGCGCAGAAAGGCCATTAGCCGGGGCCCAGACCATGACCCAGAAGTGAAGCGAGACGGAAAAGACAGACACGTCTCCTTCAAAGCAATGAGCATTAAGTCAGTTTCCCTTTCCCCCCTCAAATCTCAAGAAAGCTGAGTTCGTCAAATCAAGGGGAATGATGGCTTCTGAGGGGGGAAAAGGGAGAGGGAGAGATGGCACAATTGGTGTGCGGTGTGAGGAAGGAGAGGGAGGGCGGGACGGTGAGAGGCGGTCGCCCATCGGACGGGCCGGACGGGGTGGGGGGGGCAGCAAGGCCTCCCGACAGAGATGCTCATCCTCACCTCCCTGTTCACGCGTCTGCTCCTTAGGAACTCTTACAGGCCAAACAGGACCTTCAGGACCTGCTGATCGCCAAAGAGGAGCAGGAAGACCTCTTGAGGAAGCGGGAGCGTGAACTCACCGCCCTGAAGGGAGCCCTGAAGGAGGAGGTGTCCAGCCACGACCAGGAGATGGAGAAGCTGAAGGAGCAGTATGACACCGAGCTGCAGGCCCTGAGGGAGAGTGTGGAGGAAGCCACCAAGGTGAGGCCACCCCACCTGGCAGGTCAGCCCCTAGTGGCTTGGGAACAGGTAACAGGCAAGACCTCTCCTCCACCAGTGCCGACTGTCTTGCTTCCTGTTTGTGACAGAGTGAAACTTTCATCAAATCATGGAAATAGAGCTTGTTCACAGAGAATAAGGTCAACAGTGCTGCTGTTGACGGTTTTAAAGCCTATAAACTTAAAAATTATTAAGGACATTGTTTAAATGCTACTGCGGCATGTGGGATATGGAGGCCCCGGCGTGAACCCTGGACATTCTGTAGCCTCGCGCGGAGCAGAGATCTGTGTGCCTCCAGGTGTGGTTTTGCTGATGGCACGGGATTGCAGACAGGACCAGGTCTCTGGAATCCTTCACCCCTGCCCTAACCTGCTCCTTCTGGCTTGTGAAACCCTTTGTTAGACATTTTAGGTTCTTTCTCAGCACAGTTACGAGAGGGTTAATTGGCTGAGTTGCCCAAACCCTTGCGAGATAATTTTTCTCTTAATTGAATTCTTGGCTCCAACGAATAGAGTCTCCTAAATTATGTTGAAGTCTTTTGGTGTGGGCCTCATGTTGGCTGTTGAAGAAGAAAAAAAGCAATATTTTGAAGGGGGAAATGCTTTGAAATAACGTGCCATCTTTAGGGACAGGGGAATTACAGAGTATGGTTTTCTTTATAGTCTCTGCAGTGTATTGGTCAAAGATGATGAAGAAAGGACTCTTGATAAGGTTTGTTTATTGTGTGATGATTACAGCCACAGCTTGGAGCTGGGAGGCCCTCCCTTCACCAAGCTCCACAGTGATTCACTGATTTTCAGTTACGGCACAGTAATCCAAATGACAAGAAGTGAAAGATGGGTTTGTTTATTATAACAATAAAAAGGCTGGGAAATAGTCTGTTTGGGATTATTGTAACGGAGGCAGTTATAAAAAAGGCCTCTTGTTGATTTGCCTATCTTTGACTCTTTTGAGATACGGTTTAGTTTGAGGGAGGAGAGCAGAATTGAGGCGATGTCCGTTTATTCCACCTCCTTTTGCTTTTGTGTGACAGCCTGATGTCCTTGCTAGTGGCCTTTAGGGGCTGTTGCTTCATGGGGACATGCCCATGGGCTGCTGAGTAAAATGACTCTCCTTTGAACACATCTTATCGGTACCATCTTCAGACATTGCATCAAAGCTTGAGTTAACAAGGTGTATTCATCGAAGGGTAGGTAGTTGAGGACGATGTTTAGGCATGTTTGTAGTGATTTCACTATTAGGAAGGTTAAACTGGTACCACACATGGGTCTCTCCCAGATGTAAATGACTTTTAAGTACGGAGTTGAGATAATCTGTCGAGACTTTGGCTGTTGCATTTTGCCCTTTCTGAAGGTCAGCATTGTACGCTAGTTCACAGCATTTGCATTATGTCACTTCAAGGGGGGTAACTGCATTGACGCATACCAGTCTGTGAAAGAAACAGCAGGTGCATTAGCCAAGGTGCATAATGTAAGAGAATGTAAGGTTTCTGAGCACCAGGAAGCGAACACAAAGGGGTTCACCTTAGCATCCAGTGGGGTGCTGGCCAGCAAGGCTCTTTGCCCCAGGTCATATTCTGTACTGCTGCCAGCGTCGTATCCTGAAAGAACAAATCTGGTCATGTTAGCCTCTGCTTTAATAACTGCCTTGGCTCCCCATTGCCCCAGACTTAAGTTCAAAACTGTGAGCATGGCAGCCAGTAAATCCCTTTGCTTCCTAACCCTGTTTCCAGAAAACTCCATATTCTTTTAGTCCTCTCACCTTCCACTTTTCTGCTTGAGTGACCTCTGCTCATCCTTCACGACCCTCCCCAAATGTCCTCTCTTCTCTGAAGGTGCCCCAGATACTTCCACTTCCCTTGGTGGAGAAAGTCGTGCCTTCCTTAGGGTTTCTGTTGCACCCTGGTTATTCTACCAGGAATGATTAGTTTGCATCATGCCATGTTGTAATTTATCATTTTTGTCTGCTGACTCCATGAGACTCTGAGCTTCTTAAGCACTGAGGCCATTTTTATCCCTTTTTTTTCCCTTAGACCAAGAGTGGCAATACCTTGGGGCCCAGACAGGCACTTCAATGAGCGAAACTCTGGGAGGGTTGTTGGGGTGACAGTAGGGCATGGTGGGGACTGTGGCAGGCTGCAAAGGGTGTCCTTTGCTGTAGGGTCAGTTGCTTCTCTGCTACAGCTCAGAGTTGCCAATGAAGGAATATGGGGCCCACGTTGCCAGGTCTCGCAGTTTTTAAAGAGAAGCCTGATAGCTGGATGTTGATGTGAGATCTCCTGACTTTAAAGCAATGCTTCAACTTAAAAAAGAAACACATTATAAAAAACAACCAATACAACTGATCTACAGGTTGACAGCGTGTGATCTTTGTCCCCAGAGTTTGCACAGTGCCGGGCACATGGCCATGTCTGTACAGTGTCTGGTGAGTAAGGGTGAGTGGGGGCGAGTCCTGTCTGACCAGCTGTTCCAGCTGTGTGGTTCCTGTTGGGCTTTCTCCCACGATGACGGGGAGGTCTTTTAGGAAATCTGTTATTAGTCTGAATTTCTGTGCCTTGCTTTTGAGTTTCCCTGTAGTTTTTCATCAAGAGGATTATGGTTATGTTTTTATACCTTAGCTTTTGCTTGTGGAGGTGGTTGCTGAACAAATGTGCCAGAAGCATATTTAATAGAAAATTAGGCTAATTTAGTGGACAGATGCTGCCTTTTTGTTATTTACATGTGGGTATTATATAGTAGAATTTTAAGATTATTCGATTAACTACTTGGAAGAGAGTGAATTAAATATACTTTTTTAACTTGGTAAAGAGTATATATATATTTTTAAATGTTTTTATTGATTTTTTTTTTTTTAGAGAAGAAGGGAGAGATAGAAACATGGATTGGCTGCCTCTTGTACACCCTTACTGGGGATCAAGCCCACAACCCAGGCATGTGCCCTGACCAGGAATCGAACTGGGACTTCTCAGTCCATGGGACAGTGCTCAATCCACTGAGCCACACTGGCCGGGCTGGTAAAGAGTATTTCTTAAATCAGCACTAGCCTTTACCCTTTTCAGTCTCTGGGGAGGGACCCACCTACCCACCCCTGTGACTAAGAGCTGACCTTTTTACTAAATTTATTTCCTTGGTAAGTCTTAGGAGGCAGCCCAACCTCCTGTCATCAGTTTTTCTAATTTTTGCCGCTGCCCCAGGGCCAAAAACTCCTAATGTGCTATTTTATTATCGTCAAATAACAAACATTTCATCCTGGCCTGAGCGTGAGCACTAAAAGTTTTAAATTACTAGCACAGTTGGTGAAAACTGTCAAAACCCATTAAGAACATTTTACAGGTATTCCAAACAGATCCTCTGTAAAAATGGTCTTTGTAGACCCAAACAGCCTCGCTTTTTAAAGAACAGACTGACTGCTCACCAGAGAAGCTGGGGGGCCGGGTGTGTGGGTTTCCTAGAGAAGCAGGGGGAGCCCACCTCTCCGGCGCGGGGGTGGCGTGCTCGGTAGGTGCGCTACTTCCTTCCCTTCCCATAGAGAAGGGATCTGCACAGCCTGTTAGAAGAGGGATTCGCACTAGCAATCATTCTTTGAAAAGACTATGAAGAACTTTGACGCCTTATTTCATCACATGCTTTTTTTCTGTTACATCCTTTTATACTCTTTCTAGTTTTAAAAAGAGATGTCCTCTTTCTCCTTGGGTTTGTGGCAGCGGCTGGAACCCATGTGCAGAAATGGACCGTCAGTGGGGATGTGAGTGACTGCCGTCGGGGGTGTAATGAAGACGTCCATAGCTGTTAGCCTCTCCTTTTCATCCCCACCCCTTCTAGTCTCCAACTCCTGTGCAGAAGAGAAACGCAGACTGTTCAGTGTTTTTTGATTTCTCCAAGTAGGCAAGTTCAAATTCTAGGTCCTCCAGAAACTTCCCTGGTTCCCTGTTGGGCATTACACTTGCTGGACCTGGAATTACTGGGAATTTTATTCGTGGTTTTTTCTTCCTTGTCATACTAAGGACTGTCATCTTTTTCCCACTAGGCATCCCCAGTGTGCTTGGCACTTTGTAGGTGTTCAGAAAATGTTTGTGGATTAGAGGAATGAACAGACAAAAGGGGAGATGCCCTTTGAGTCTTGACAAGCCCAAGGCCAGGCATTGGTCTCTTTTGGGGTCTCATGCATGAATTAAAATTGTTTCTCATGAAAATGAACAAATCTTGTCTGTTGGGAGCAATATGATAATGTTAGTGTTGATCTTGGAAGGACTACTTTGGCATCTAAAAGCTGCAGGTATTTTGAGGATGATTAAAAACAAAGCCACAGGATTTTTGTGTTGGGTCGTATGCCTTCCGGACCACTAGGCACTTTCAGAGTGCCCACCATATAGCAGTGAAACAATAGCTATCTCTTCGGTGAATGGACGAGGGGGAGAGGAGGGAGGATGAAGTTGTGTGAGATACAGCATTTACCAATTGACTTCCTGAACAGTTGCCAAGTGCACAGTGTCACGCTAAGTTATGTGAGGGTTATACAGATAAATCAGATAAATCTACTTCCAGGAGATTGGAGGGGAGATCAGTAACGCTCAGGCTGATTACAGGGTAGGAAGGAACAAATGCAGTGGAGATAAAATGCTGTAGGAGATGGCGGTGCTCGGGACGGGGACTGACTGGTGGCGATCAGGAAAGGTTTCATGGAGGGGCGGGGTTCAGGTGGGGCCGTGGAAGGTGAGTGGTATTGGACCAGTAAGCATGGAGACTGAGGACATTTTGGGGACGAGCAACACCTTGTCGTTGGGACAGGGAGAGTGTGTCTGGGCTGGAGCCTTGTGGAGCAGTAGCAGTTTCAAGAGGCAGGGACCCAGATCCAAAGCATGGACCATGTTTGGATCCCAGTTAAACAAACCAACTGTAAAAAACAAGAAATACTTGGAATCATTGGGGTCATTTAAACACTGTCTCTATATTTATTGGTATTGATAAATAATGGAAACAAAA